CTCAAAAAAAAAAAAAAAATCACCAAGAGACAATCACAGATACCTTTCAGTACATAGAATTATCTTAACGGTTTAAAAATAGAAAACTTGGATAATTCACTGCATGTGCTGTTAGCAGTTTCCAATTTATTTATTTATTTAATTATTTATTGAGTTGGAGTCTCACTCTGTCTCCCAGGCTGGAGTGCAGTGGCATGCTCACGGCCACTCCAGCGTCAACCTGTCGGGCTCCGGCGATCCTTCCCCCTCAGCCTTCCAAGTAGCCGGAACTACAGGCGCGCGATACCACACCCAGCTAGTTTTTTATTTTGCCCGGGCTTGTCTCGAACCCGCGGGCTCAAGTAATTCCCTCGCCTCGGCCTCCCAAATTGCTGGGATTACAGGCTGAGCCACCGAGCCCGGCCAGCAGACTACTTTTAAAACATAACATTACATAATAAAATACTCTTTTAAAAAGCTGCATGATGTTCCCTTTGGGGGTGAACCATACCTTATTTAACCATTTTCATTCAAATTGTTTCCAATTTTTCTCAAGTTAAATAAACTCTGTGATGTGTATACGCCTTTTATCTGGCTCTCCGATTACCTTCAGCTAAACTCCTAGAAGTTACTGGGCCAAAGGGGAGTGAAACTAATTTTTAATATATTTTTTAAATTTACAGAAAATTAAAGCCTTCGCCCTCGGATTCTACTCCACAGACGGCCTAGAAACCAGTTGGATTCAAACCATCCCAAATTCCCTTCCGGTACAAGTTTCCCTGATCCTGCTAAACGCCCAGCACTCCGCATCCACGACTGCGCACACTGCCCCAAATTCGGGCATCTTGCCCATCAGAGAAACTGCTTGACACGTCTCCGAGGATGCACCACCTCTTTAAATTTTAAAACGAAGGCTCAGGCCAATGAACGTGAAGCTTCTCCCGGAACACAGCGCCCCGCCCCCAGTCACGCCTTCCACCAATCAAACTGAGCTTTCTCCGCCGTCCTTCCAATCGCCGCCAAAAATGGAAGTTGCTGACGTAACTTACGTAAGAAAAGCAACCAATAGAAGCTGACCTTAGGAACTAGCTCCGCCAATAGCAGCAGCTCTGGAAGAGCGCGGGAGCCTTTCGACCAGGGCCGTAAGGGAAGCAGTGAATGGCGCTGGTTCCCTGAAGGACGGGCCTCGGGGAGAGCGGTGCGGGCCTGAGCCCGAGCCGGGGGGCGGCGGCCCGGCGGGTATGGCGTGCTGTTACAAGGTAATGCTGCTGCTGGACACCGCGGGCGGCGCCGCTCGCCACAGCCGGGTCAGGCGGGCCGCCCTGCGCCTCCTCACCTACCTGAGCTGCCGATTCGGCCTGGCCAGAGTCCACTGGGCCTTCAAGTTCTTTGACTCGCTGGGGACGCGGAGCCGACCCTCGCGCGTGTCCGACTTCCGCGAGCTGGGGACCCGCTCCTGGGAGGACTTTGAGGAAGAGTTGGAGGCCAGGCTCGAGGATCGCGCCCACCTGCCCGGCCCGGCGCCCAGGGCCACCCACACTCACAGCGCCTTGATGGAGACGCTACTAGACTACCAGTGGGACCGGCCCGAGATCACGTCGCCTACTAAGCCGATCCTGCGGAGCAGCGGCAGGAGACTGCTGGACGTGGAGAGCGAGGCCAGGGAGGCCGAGACCGCGCTCGGGGGCCTGGTGAACGCTGTCTTCCTCTTGGCCCCCTGTCCGCACTCGCAGAGGGAGCTGCTGCAGTTCATGTCTGGGTGCGAGGCCCAGACCCAAGGCCTGCCGCCTACCCCTAAGCAGGTGATGGAGAAGTTGTTGCCCAAGAGAGTTCGGGAAGTCTTGATCGCCCGAAAAATCACCTTGTACTGGGTGGATACTACCGAATGGTCTAAGGTGAGGTTATAGCATCTCAGATGTAGCACTCGGGCTCTCCTTGCTAACCAGAACTTGGTAGCATCCTCAGAGCAGCCAGCAGACCTAGAGCTAAGACTGACATGTCCGTTCAGAAGGAAAGTCCTTTGGTCACAAATAAATAGGGACAGTTTTCACAAGAAAATTGTGGTTCCTTCCTCACTCTCTACTAAATGCTTAAGGCCCTACCTGCCGTTCCAGACTTTGTTTTCCTATACACGACGTATATTCTAGCATATTAAATAGCATATTAAAGCCTGGTCTAGATTATCAGCGTGTCTTGACTGCCTGCTTTGTCTTAGCTCTTGCTGTTCAATCTGCCTGGAATGCCAGTTCTCACTCTTCTACTCTTCTAGGCCAGTCTAAACCTCAATCATCCTTTTTTTCTCCTTTATTTTATTGTAAAGATGTGAGATACAAGTCAGGATTAGATATATAAGTAGTCTATGTGCAGGTGAAGTTTGGGCTTCTGACTGGTCCTCACTTCCCCTGGTTTAGGATCAGGTGCCCTTAGTAGTGTTATGTTGTAGTGTTCCCACCTCCTACCTCCCACCTGCCGCAGTGTCCCACTGCTACTGATCCCTCTCTTTGTAGTATTGTGATCAATGTTCAGGACTCACTTATAAGTGAGGGCTCCGCCATCCTTTTTTCTTTTTTTTTTTTTTTGAGTCGGAGTCTCACTCTGTCACCAAGACTGGAGTGCAGCAGCATGCTCATGGCTACCACAGACTCCACCTGCTGGGCTCCGGCGATCCATCTGCCTCAGCCTTCTGAGTAGCTGGGACTACAGGTGCAAGCCACCATGCCCAGCTAATTTTCAAAAATTTATTTATTGTAGATACAAGGTCTTACCAAGTTACCCAGGCTGGTCTCGAGCCTCTGGGCTCAGGCAATCCTCTCACCCCCACCCCCAAAGTGCTGGGATTATAGGCTTGAGCCACTGCACCCGGCCTCACTCATCCTTTAATACTTCACTCAAGTGACAATTATTTATTTCAATCTTTGAATTTCCATACATTTTTTTGTGTTGGCACTCTTTCTCCAGTATGTTCCATTTGTGTGTATCTCTCACCTTCCATCTAGTCTAAAAATACCTTAAAGGCAGGCACCGGGTCTTAACTCTTCTTTGTATTCTGGCAGGTGTGTGTTGGACATTGTAGAGGTTCAATAAATATTTGCTGATTAAATGAATACATTGTTACAAACTGAAAGTCTTAGTGGCTAGTTTGGATTTTTGTTGAGGTTGTAAGGCCCCTCCCTGCTCCTGTTAATTGCTATGATGAGCATATGTTTTTACTTTCATCATTTTCTTTATTTCGCTTTATTTAGTTAACAAATATTCATTAAGATGCTGCTAACGTTGTTTTAGCTGCTGGGGATATGGTGGCCAAAGTGGCGTTTACCTTCTAGTGGGGAAAATAATACTAAACGAAAACGTTAACAGATTAAACAGGTAAGCAAGTAAGTGATGTCATTTCAGATTATGCTCTGAAGAAAGGGGATAGAGGTAGAAGAAGGCAGTCGTATGTAGGTAATATAAAGGGAAGGCCTTTCTGAGCAGAGAATTAAATGGTGAAGAAGGAAGGATGTGAACGTTGGAAAAGAACATTCCAGGCAAAGAGAAGAGCAGGTCCAAGGATTTGAGCTGGAAACGAGCTTAGTTTGTTTCAGAAACAGAAAGGTGAGGAGGAGAGCAGTGTGAGAGGAGGTGAGAAAGCAGGAGACGCCAATCTTTAGGGCCAAGGTCATAAGTGTGGATTTTGTTCTAATTAATGGGAAGGCTTTGGGGGGTGGTTTAACCAAGTGAAAGATACCATTCTACTTCATGGAAATACATGTTACCTACCCAGGAGTGGGTTAAATTGCAAGATTACACATGGAAAATAAGTAGGTACTTAAATAATGACATGGTGTGCAAACATTTCCAAAGTGCCTTCACATGCAAAGCTCCAAAAGGGCATGGCAAATGCGAAGTAAGGCAGCAGTGCTTTGTCAAAAAAGAAAAAGACAAAAGGTGTTTAAGGGGATGGTAGACATTTGTGGGAATAATGGAATCCAAGAAGTTAAAATTTCAGGCAGCTAACCAGGTGTTGGACACACAACACATTAAGTGCTCAATTTGAGACCATTGATAGGAAATCACATCAAAGACTTTATTCTGGAATTGTATTATATCAAATAGTGGCTAGAAATAAGTCTTAGCAGATAGGACTCAGAGATTCTTATCCTCTCCTTTTTTTTCTCTTTCTTTTTGGAATGGCATTGAAATAAGAGGGTTGACTGGATCTTTTTTTTTTTTTTTGAGTTGGAGTCTCACTCTGTCGCCCAGACTGGAGTGC